TTGAGTATTTTTGCATCAATGTTCATGAGGGATATTGGTTTGAAGTGCTCTTTCTTAGTTGTGTCTTTGTGTGGCTTGGGTATCAAGGTTACTGAAGCCTCCTAGAAAGAGTTTGACAAAGACCCTTCTGCTTTTATTGTGTGGAATACTTTGAGAAGAATTGGTATAAGCTGTTCTTTGAATTTCTGGTAGAATTCTGCACTGAGGCCATCTGGCCCTGGACTGTTTTTGTTTGGAAGACTTTTGATGATTGTTTCTATTTCCTTAGGGGTTATAGGTCTATTTAAATTGCTTATCTATTCTTGATTTAATTTTGGCAAGTGATATCTATCCAGAAAATTGTCCACTTCCTTTAGATTTCCAAATTTTGTGGAGTACAGGTTTTCAAAGTATGACCTGATGATTCTCTGGATTTCCTCAGTGTCCATTGTTATGTCCCCCTTTTCATTTCTGATTTTGTTAATTTGGATGTTCACATTCTGCCATTTTGTAAGTTTGAATAAAGGTTTGTCTATCTTGTTTATTTTCACAAAGAACCAACTCTTCATTATATTGATTCTTTGTATTGTTTCCTAGTTTCTACTTTATTGATTTCAGTCCTCAATTTGATTATTTCCTGGCATCTACTCCTCCTGGCATCTAGTCCTCCTGGCATAAGTTTGGGTATGTTGTGTCTTCATTCTCATTGAATTCTAGGAAGTCTTTAATTTCTTTTTTTATTTCTTCTTTGACCCAGGAATGCTTGCATCTGTAGTACCTGACCGTTTTCCCAGCTTTTCTATTTCCAGCATTACTTCAGACTGTGGTTTTTTTTATTGTCTCTATTTCAGCTTTCAACCCTTGCACTATTTGGATTGTTTCTTGCCATTTTTACTTTGTCTTTTCCTCTCTTTCTTGTACTTGTTGGATTTTTTGGTTCATTTTTTCTTCCATTTCTTGCATATTTTGGTTTGTTTTTTCTTCCATTTCTTTAAGGGATTTTTTCATATCCTCTTTGAGGGCCTCTATCATTTTCATGAAATTGTTTTTAAGGTCTTTCTCATCTGCTTCATCTGCAATGGGCTGCTCAGGTCTTGTGGGTATAGATTCTCTAGTCTCTTGTGGTGTCACATTGGTTTTTCGGTTGGTGGGTGTGTTTTTATATTGTCTCCTTCCCATCATTTCTTCCTGTGGGTACAGAAGGAATCTCTTCTTCTCCTGGTGGGTATGTGACTACTGTTCCTTTCCAGTGGGTGAGAGCAGGTACAGTACCCTGGTGACTTTCCTCTTGCATGGATGCAGGCTGTCCTAGTATCAGGGTGCTGGCAATCTCTGGGTAGGCTGGACCCTTGCTTGTTCCATGGGTGGGGAGTGGGACTTGGAAGCTGGCAGTCTCTGGGTGGGCTGGCTTCTGCCGGGATGGTGGCTGCAGTGTGCAGTTCCCTGATCTTGGTTAGTTGTGCACAGATCACTGGAAGGCAGGCTGTAAACAGGCCCAGGCCTTTCTAACCCCGTGAGTGGAGAAAGGGATTGTGGTGTTGGCAGTCTCTGAGTGGGATGAATCCCATGAGATGGGAGCTGCCTTGCCTAGTCCCTAGGTCTCAGGAAGGTCTGCTCAGGGTACTGGAAGGCAGGCTGGAGACAGTCCCATGCTTACCTCACCTGTCCCATGGGTGGAAAATGGGACTTGGAAACTGGCAGTCTCTGGGCAGGCTGAATCCCATCAGGCTGGGATCCGACGTGCACAGTCCTCAGGTCTCCAGTGGTTCTGCTCAGGGCACTGAAAGTTAGGCTCACCTCGCCTGTCCAGTGGGTGGAGAATGGGACTTGGAAGCTGGCAGTCTCTGGGCAGGCTGGCTCCTGCTGGGATGGGAGCTGCAGTGTGCAGTTCCCTGGACTCAGCTAGTTGCGTGGGCAGATCATCGGAAGGCTGATGGTAAACAGCAAGAGTCCTATATCTTACAAATAACAGGAAGCCAACTGAGACACTGGGCAGTATCCTGAGCATAGGAAACTTTAAAGCCCACCCCCACAGTGTCATGTTTCCTCCAACAAGGCCTTAGACACTCCAAGAAAGCCACACCTCCTAATAGAGCCTCTCCCTATGAGATTATGGGGGCCAATTATATTCAAACTACCACAGACACAAGGCTTACAACTTCATTCCCTCTTTTCCAACAGAAACCTGCTAGGACTGGATCCACTGCAGGGCCTGCACCCTCTTCCATACACACTGTGATGGTGCCCACCTGATTCCAATCTGGAACTGGCACTCATCATCATTGACCCCATTCCCTGGTTCCAGCAAGTTTGCCATGTTTTGCCTGGGAAGATTCTTGCCTTTCCCTGGATTATTGCAGAGTCCTCACCCTGTTGCTGGCCCCTGTACCTCCTCAATAAAACAAGAACAGTCCTGCAACAGTTTTAAGCAGATCTTGCCATCCTTCATAGAGCCATCTTCTGGCTCCCAGGGGAGTGTTTCAAGCAATCTGGAAGGCTCCATGTGTCCAGCTTCTCCTCCATCCTGACCTTCCACTGTGGCAGCCTGGCCTCCTGGCACTGCCCAGTAAGTCCCATTTCAATGCCTGATCCCCAGCTGCTACTGGCCAGGAATGTGGAATAGGCTTTGCTCAGGAGCCACCTAGCACACACCTTGTTTTCTTCAAAGTCCCACACTCAAATCTTTCAAGAAAAGGCCCCAGCTAAAATGCTGGCATCTACATCCTACAAAAGTAGGTAGCATAGACCATCTGAAAATGCACCAAAATGGCATACTGATCATTTGGAATCCCTGAAGGAAGTACTCACTGGTGTCTTCCCAAGCACACATGCTAAAGCAGCCCAACACAAAACCATAATCATACCTAAAACATGACATTTTCTTGTGATTTTTTTCTAACCCCACTGTGATTCCCCAGCAAAAACTGCAGATGATAGCACCATGTCACAATGTCCAAAGGTTGAGTCCCTGTGACAGCTTTGGAAAAGACCATTTGGCCTGTCTTTTCCTATAAGCAGCAAGCCATAACGATTCCATGAGTACAAATGTTTTCCCCACAAGATACCAGCTCTGGGTTGTCCCAGGTCTGAATAAATAACTTGTCTTCTGACTACTTTTATGGGCTCGCATATATCTTCTCATGATGCCTCTAGCGTTTACTGCCCCTAGTCCAGATATCTTTGTCCCATCAGATTTTACAGGCTACTGTATTTTGTATAAAAAGTATAAAAGTGTCATACTTTGGTCATTTCTTCGCAGTTAACTTTCTTGTAAAACTCCTCACGTGAATGTAGAGGTAATAAATGGTGTGGTTTTTCTCTTCTTAGTCCTGTATTAACTAGGCTCCAACCTCTCCACTGGCATTGAAATTCTTTTTTTTTTTTTTGAAAATTAGTAACTTTTATTGTCCAAGAAACAACTTTATGCAATAATATACATTTCTATACATGGAAACTTGCTGAGTAGCTAATAAGATAGCTACTGCATACATCTATTTTAAAAAATTAAATTAAATTTAAAAAAATAAACTAACTTCGCTGCCTGTAGGCTAGTTTCTTACTAATGTTAGCACCAAAGAACAGGAATGGAACCGTCTGGAAAAGAGGCAAATGGTAACAAAGACCTATGGTGAAGTGATTAGAGCTCCACTCTTCACTATCTTACTAACAACTTACCTACATACGCAATCCTACTTCCTAAAGAACAAAAACCTGGCACAGCAGTTCTGAAAACAACAAAATTCAACACGACTCCTAGCATTTTAGGGAATGAGAACAACTTTGAGACCTCACTATGAAAATAAAATGCACGTCCTCACTTCTCGAGGAGTGATTCTAGCTCTTCCTGCAAAGAGCTGAGCTGCTCTTTCTCCCTGTCTTCCTTCTGTTTGAGTTCATCCAGGACAGCCTGGAACCTGCTCTTGAGGGCCAGGTTCTCTACCTTCATGATGAGGTCCTCCTGGCGCTTCGCCCTGTCTTGGGTCTCCTGCAGCTTGCCTTTCATGCTGTCAATCTGTTTCTGAATCCCCATAACCAGCTGGCTGGTTCCTTCGTCCCCCTGGTGCTGCTCATCGGACTCGTTGAGCTTGTCTTGCAGCTGTCTCTCCAGATCTTCCTCGGTGTCGACGATGTTCACGTCCTCCTCATCCTCACTGCTGCTGCTGAGGTCGTTGAATATCTCTCGAAGCTCATCGTGCTCTAGAGAGTCGTGGCCCTGCCTGTGGCCAGACATTCCTGGAGAAGAGATATCGAGGCCCTGATTTTCTGTCTCCTTTGTTTCATCTTCGGCAATTATCTCCCAGCGGGTGCTGACAGCTTCTGCGTCAGTGCTCAGCAACCTCTTCACTTCTTTCTCCACATCGGGAGACTCGATGTACTTCTTCTTGGCTGTCTTCCGGAACCTTCTCTTTCTGACATTCTTTAGAGGTAGAGTGATTCCATGGTTCCAAACAAACTTCTTCTCTTTGTCCTTATCTTTTTTTTCTTGCTTGCTTTGGGGTCTGCGGGGGCAACTGGCTCCTCCACAGGAGGGTAGAGGTCGCCATCCACTGTGGATACAAGCATCTGACAGATATCCGCCGTCTTATAAAAGGTTTTTTTATCAATGGTTTTCAAGCTTTCCATGACACAAGGCAGATCTACCAACTTTGAGGCCAGGGGAACTCGATCCACTCTGACAATGCCGTGACGCCCATCGGGGTGTAACTCAATAGTGAGCCTGTCTTTCAGGTTGACGTGTCCAGACTGCACGGCCCTCCTCACAGTAGAGGCATATTCTGGAGGCAGTCGTAAAATAAACTGGCTCTCCAGTTCGTGAGGCGCGTCATCTTTGCTCTTACTCATCTTTAATTCCTTGCGAGTGGCTCCTCACCGCGCTGAAAAGTTTTAGCTCGTCCTCCGGCGGCTGCAAAAGGCCACTCGCTGGCGGAGCCAGCGGCGGGGAGCGGCGCTTCCGGTCGCCCCGCGGCGGGAGAAGCCACAGGTCCCGCCGCGGCCACGCTGAGCCCCGCGGCCGCGGAGCCGACTGCCGGCATTGAAATTCTAATCAGTCAACATTGTGTTGTAGCCACAGCTTTCAGGGACTTTCAAATTTGAGTGACTAAGACCCAGGAACACAGTGTCCAGTCACCCCAAGCCACATGAACCCCAGAGGTAACTCATTCTTTTAAACAAAAGGTAGTAGTAGCTTTGCATTAATAGGCCTCAACAAAGCCTAGATACCTCTACTTTTTCTAAGGAGTAAATAGCAAAGCTGATATTTGAGGTGCCCCCAAGGCTGGTATTGCTATCCCTGTTTCACAACTTCAGAAATCAAAATACTAAAAGTATTTAGGAACCAGAGCAGGAATAAGGGACTCAAATATTTTTGACATGTCTGGACTTCAGTCAAGACAAAACAAAGCACATTTTGGACTTTTGGCCAAGGATACAAGTCAAGGCCCCTATCTTTAAACATTCTGCCCTATTTCCACTTTAGGGCTTCTATTGCTGTGACAAAACACCATGACCAAAAAGCAAGCTGAGGAGGAAAGAGTTTATTTGGCTTACACATCCATATTTCTATTCATCTTTGCATCTTTGAATGAAGTCAGACAGGGCAGAAACCTGGAGGCAGGAGCTGATGCAGACGTCATGGAGGAGTGCTGCTTGCTGGCTTGCTCCCCATGACTTGCACAACCTGCTTTCTTATAGAACCCAACACCATCATCCCAGAGATGACACTGTTGGGAAGAGGCAAAAAGCACCTTGTGTAAGTACTGTCATTTTGACTTCAGACTCCACTTTACCTGTAGGGTGAGACAAAGTCAGGTTCCCAAACCCTAGGTGAGCTGAGAACCTTCCAATGGCTGACTTACCTCCTCCTTAAACCATAGAAATAGTCGTTATGCATCTCTAGTTCTCTATAAACAATCATGATTGTTCCTAACAACAGAAAGAACAAATGAGTCTGATTGGTTGGACTGAAAAGCTTACCTTCTATATTGTTTGACTGATGGAACACATAGGGAAAGCCCCTAATTATTAAATCCTGATTGCTCCAAAAATGGAACTGTAACTTGGGCATGGATATTTGTGGGATTTCTGTTTAAATACTTTCTGAAATGAATGTTCGGGGTCACAGTTCAGCTCCCAAGTCTGTTCTGTCACCCTGATTGATCAGGCTTCTGTAGTGCTGTTCAGTAAGAAGTCTTGCTTTGCAGAACCTCTTGTGTCTGCTTGGGTTGATCCAGAGCCTCTAAGGACAGTACCATCCACAATGGGCTGGCCCCTTCCCAATGAATCACTAATTAAGAAAAATGCCCTATAGCTGGATCTTACAGAGGCATTTTCTCAATCGAAGTTCCCTCCTTCCAGATAACTCCAACTTGTGTTGAATTGATATGAGACTAGCCATCACACCCACTCTGAAGAGGAAAGCCTAGCCACCATCAGGGATTTAGATGATGCTCAACCTGGCTTCTTTCTGTTGGGTATAGTCATCTGCTGTGGTGGGCCTATCCAAGGGTCCTTAAAACCAGCCAGGTATAGTGTGAAAAAGACGTCACCAAAGGACACCTAGATAGAGGTGAGGGGTAAGAGTAAAATTAAGAGGGGTCTGGGAGATTAGGCATTGAGTACAGAGGGCTTTAGGGATCCCACTTTCAGCCTTGGAGGGTGATCAAGGGAACTCAGGTAGATAAAGTTAGACTTTCTTGGGGCTGACTCCTGGCCAGCTGAGGTGATCCACAACTGATTAACTCCTGAGGAGATAGTAATACAGAGTGTTGTAATGTTAGGTCAATTGGGAAATCAAATCTCTACCCAGAGTTAGAGACAGAACTTTGATTCCAATCTCTTGAGCAGGAGGAAGTAGTAGCTTTTCATGAATAGGTGTGATGTCCCAGCTCCTGGCTAGAAGAGGAAGAGTGTCATAGATCAAGGAGCTGCAGGCAGATAAGACATATTTTGTTCACCAGCACACAGATTGTTAGGCAGGTAGTCATTAGGCAGGCAGCTGCTGCCAGGTATCCAGACAGACACAGGCTGCATGCATACAGGTTTACAGACAGATACACATAGGCAGGTAAGCAAAGACAAAGGCTCAGGCTTCTGCCTTCAAGACCACATTTATGCAGAACCCACATGGAAGTGTCATTCTGCTACAATGTGTTATCTAGTAATTGACACAACTATTTACTTTGGGGTTCCCTGAACATTCAGTACCAGCCATTATGTGCTGACTCATAGTTATACCCTAACTCCAATAACTATTTATAGGCGGGGTGTGAGTGTTGAGACAGGGTTTCTCTGTGTGGCTCTGGCTGTCCTGGAACTGGCTCTGTAGACCAGGATGGCCTCAAACTCAGACATTCATCTGTCTCTGCCTCTCAAGTACTGGGATTAAAGGCATGCGTCACCCCCTGCCCCCATCCCAGCATCCAATAAGCTATCTTGGTCCATGTTAGATATCCACATCAGCATCATGTTATCTAAATATAAACCGGCCCCTTAAGGCCCTCTGTTCCCAACAATGGGCCCCAATAAATACCAGACAACTCCACCTTCTTATATAATAATTTAAATCCTAAGGTGTAGTGATGCTGATGCTTACCTTTCTAGTGTTACCAAGGAAACAAGAGGTAGGGTCCATCTTCTTCACAGTAATAATTTAAAAACTGAATGCACTAAGCTGGAGTTGTGGGGCCACTCCTTTGATCCCAGCACTCAGGAGGCAGAGGCAGACAGATCTCTGTGAGTTTGAGGCTGCCCTGGTCTACAGAGTGAATTCCAGGATAGCCAAGGCTACACAGAGAAACCCTGTCTCAAAAGACCACAAAAAAAAGAAAGAAAAGAAAAGGAAAAACAAAAAGGTAAACTAGAGAAGTATGAATAGTTACATAAAAATAATTTGTTGAGCCAGGCATGGTGGAACATACTTTTAATTCCAGCACTTGGGAGGCAGAGGCAAGCAGATCTCTGAGGCCAGCCCGGTCTACAGAGCTACTCCCAGGACAGCCAAGGTTACACAAAAATTCCTGTCTCAAAAAACTAAAATAATAACAATAAATTGTGTGCTTTGTATATTTTGTCTGTTGGGGACCTGAGAGAGTGTAAGTCAGTCTGCACCCGTAGATCTGTCCCATCTCTCTGACACCCTGAAGCTACTGTTCTGCTCTTAGTTACATCCTCTGATTAGCTTAAAAGACAGATTTTGCATTAAAAACTATTTTTAAATGATGTCTTACCCATCTATGATTTTCAGAAGTACATATTTCTATGTATCTGAACTTTATAAGCTATACAAAAGCTTACAGAGTTAGTGTTGTATAAGATTAATGCAAAAGTCACCAGGAAGTGTTGCTGCCCAGCACCTCAGTAGCTGAGTGTGACTAAGGGAGAGACAGTAATAGAAGCTACATCCAGAGCCAGGCTGAACAGTGCTACAGCACACCAGAGACTAGCCCTGATCCCTGTTTTGAGCTAACCCCACTCCAAATGGAGAAATGCAAACCTGGGTAGGAAAGAGAAACAACTTGCAGAAGATCACAGAGGACTGACAAGGAATTCCTCCCAGTCTTAGGGTTATTATTGCTGCAACAAAACACCATGACCAAAAGCAAACTAGGGAGGGAAGGGTTTATGATTTCCGCTTCCACTTTGCTCTTCATCACTGGAGGAAGTCAGGACAGGAAGTCACACAGGGCAGGAACCTGGAGGCAGGAGCTGATGCACAACCACAGAGGATGTTGTTTACTGGCTTGCTCCTCATGGCTTACTCAGCCTGCTTTCTTATAGAACTCAGGACCACCAGCCCAGGGATGACCCCACCCACAATGGGCTGGGCCCCCTCCATGAATCTCTAGACAATGTCCTAGAGTCTTGCCTACAGTTTTTTTGTTTGTTTTGGTTCTGAATTTTTATTACTTTTTTAAAAACTTTTTTGTTCTTCTCTCATACATTGTATTCCAGTCTTCCCAGTTCCTCCCCCAACCTCTGCTCTTTCTAAATCAACTTCTCCTCTGCACTCTCCCACCAAAAAAAAAGCAGGCTTCCCAGGGATATTCACTGAACACAGCCAAACAAGATACAGTAAGACTAGGCACAAAGACTCATCACTACTGGGCATAGCTACTGGGCATGGAAAAGGGTCCCAAGCACATGCAAAAGAGTCAAGGACACTCCACTCCCATACTTGAGAGCCCCACAAAAGCACCAAGCTCCACAATTATAAGTTATAACAAGTCTCTCCGGCACAGACCTATATAGTGTCCCTGTGTTTTCACCTCAGTTTCCTACTGCTGGATCTTATGGAGGCATTTTCTCAATTGAGGCTCCCTCTTCTCTGATGATTCTATCTTATGTTAGATTGACATAAAAATTGCCAGTACCCTCCCAGTCACACAGCTGGACATAAATTTGTTCTTTTCAGAAAAAAGAAACTTTTTCATGCTGTCTTAGACATCGCTAACATTTAGACATTTTTCTTTAGTTTCCTTAGCTGCTGATACCTGATTACAATGGATGCTTATGAACCTCCAGAGACCCTGTCCACCCTCTGTAAAAAGGTCCCATTACACATGTGGTATAACCCTAGTCTCTTAATGTCTGACAGGCAATAATCTGCCATCTGGACAATTTTGCCACTTGAAACCTTGGTATTAATTTGTGTGCCCTGACAAAATAATAGCCTATAATAACTAAATAAAAGTTATTACTAAATAATACCAATTAATAATTAGATAATAGCTATTAAATAATATTTAATAATTAAATTAATAACTATCATTTAAACAATAGCAAAACAATAGTCTATAATAACCAACAATAACCCTAGATTTGTAAGAGATATAAAATTTAGGGTTTTGCCAATGCTATGGCCCTATTATCCTACTGAGTCAAAGATTCTAAATTGTACTTTAGTAGGAAAGTTGACTTAATACACACACACACACATACATATACAAACTTGTATATAATTCTTCTGTGCAATAATGCTACTTATCACTGACTCTTTTATATATGTATTACATGTCCTCTAAGA